TTAAAATCAAATCAAGGTACATAAATATACCAGCAATAGACTCGCAAACTTGAGTATCTCTTTATCATATATCATGTCGCGTCGCGTCTTCGGGATTCGCGTTCCAGAGGAGCATGCTTACTGATCCAATTATCACTCTTGACACCACAGAAGCTAGTGTCATGAAATGGACACCTCGCTAGTGCCGTCTGCGTTTTCGCTTCTGAAATCCCCCAAAAGCTTATCCAGCCAATTTGAGTCAGGCTCCATCGTAACGATACCCGACAATGCGAGAATTGGGGACCTGCCGCAGGCCGTATGGCGGAACAAGCGATATGTCTTGGAGGAGTCTTTATCGCGGAAAGGCTCCAAAGGCAGGAAGAGCTGGATCAAACTCCACGGGCTGTTCGTTGTTGAGCTTGATGCCAATGACAGCCCGCTAAATGCGTCCTGGGTTTGCCGTCTTTGCGACGCAAAGGGCCAGGCAGTGTTCTTCGCAGCGAGCGCCACTACGTCCGCTGCTGATCAACTTCGCAAGTATGTTTGGCATTATTTGTACACGACGATACGACAGCTGACAGACACAGAACACATAGAGTTTTTGAGGGTAGCCCCGTCGCAGACAGCGACCCATCGACCGACGAATCTGACCGGGCCAAACGACCGCGTCTACACTACAGCGCTGTGCCAAAAGCCAGGATCAACATCGTGCGGGAGCTCAGCGTGGGCCTCATCGTCAATGCCGATTTACCCTTCTCTGTCTTCACGAATCCATACTTTGAGCAACTCGTCTGGCAACTCGATCCCCAAGGCGCTGGTCAGGTACCATGGAGCCGACATCTGACTGATGTCTACCATGCTAAGAAGAACGCTGTCGGACAAGAGCTCAGCAATGCGCTCACCAAAATCCATCTAGGGTTTGACCTTTGGACATCGCCTAATCGTTATGCTATCATGGCCGTGACAGCACACTTTCTCGATCGGCAGGGCAGTCATCAGACGCGCCTGCTTGCGCTACGTCGTCAGCTCGGATGCCACAGTGGCGAGAACTTGGCCTGCACTCTTCTTGAAATTGTCAGAGAGTGGGGGCTAGAGGATCAGGTCGGAGTTGTTGTATCTGATAACGCCGCGACCAATGATACATGCGTTCAAAACTTTTACCAAAATTTCGATCCGAGTATGAAACCAACAGATGTACGTGCCAGGCGCATGCGCTGTTACGGCCATGTTTTGAACTTGGTTGCGCGTGCATTTCTGTACGGGGAGGACTTTGAAACTTTTGAAGCTGAATCGCAGGTTTTGGATCTTCTGAGCCGCCAGGAAGAAGACTTGAGGCATTGGAGAAAGAAAGGGCCGGTGGGCAAGCTCCATAATACCGTGAAGTTCATCAGATCGTCCCAACAAAGAAGCGAGCTGTTCAAGCGGGTCGCGCGTGAGAACGACGAAACGCAAGGTTTCCGATTGGCTTTTGAGTCAACCGCTGAGCTGGAAGTCATGATGGACAACAACACACGGTGGAATTCCACATACCTCATGATATCCCGGGCACTTGTCAAGCAGAACGATCTCAGGGCGTTTATGGTACATCCAGACGTGGAAGGGAGCCTACCCCAGGAAGACGTCCTGAGCGCAGATGATTGGCGATTGCTGGGAGAGATCAACCACATTCTCGAACCTCTCTATCTGCAAACTATGAGGACGCAGGGCTGGGGTAGAGGAGATGGGCACGGGCGCCTATGGGAGCTATTGACCGGTGTCGAATATCTGTTGGAGCACCTGGAGGATTGGAAGATGTTCTACAACGACGTCACGGAGGACACAATCCGGGAAAGCATTGCACAGGTGACTGAACCCGCACAGGAACGTCCAAGTCGCACCCGGCAACGCCCAGCTCGGTTTGACGATTGTGAGGTGGATCTGCCTTCGCAGCGACCGCAGGAGAGAGTGGTGCCGGACCACATTTCTGACACGTACAGGAGGCCAGGCAAGCCGGCAGGTGTATCTACGACGGCAGATATCGGGGGCGATCACCGTCGCTACCTGAGGCTATGTATTATGAATGCGTGGCAGAAGCTCAATGAGTATTACATCAAGCTAGGAGAGTCTCCGCTGTTCGCGGCAGCGATTATCCTTCATCCTGGGCTTGGCATCAGATACCTAGAGATAAACTGGGCAACGGAAGAGCAGCTTGTGTGGGTACGAGATGCCAAGACAGGGCTATCCAGATACATTGACAGGTGGTACCGCCGGCTGATGCCACATGGCTCCTACGAGCCATCTACCGTGGGGCCTGCAACGATGTCGGCAGCTGTTGACAAGCCGTATGAAGCGAGTGATTTCAGACAATGGGTCATGAGTAGAACAAGTAAGGCGACAGCAACGGGCAGTGAGCTTGATAGGTACATGCGGCTGGAGACTCAGGAGACGGATGACCCAGTTCAATTTCCCGGTACTCAGTCAGCTGGCGCTTGATGTTTTCGCAATACCGGCGATGGCTACAGACTGCGAAAGATCGTTCAGCCTTGCCAAATTATCACTGACATCACAGAGGCTATCGATGAGCTCAACGACGCTGGAAGCGCTGCAATGCCTTAGGAACTGGACCTGGCACGGGGCAGTGCAGTTGGGGTCCGCGCGTTGGAATCGCGGGGTGAGCGACGGCGTTTGTGACGTAGTCAATCTGTCCAGCATTTGATATATATTTGATCAAATATTCCAAACAAACAAATATCGCTCGAAAATTCTTCAAACAAACAAATATTGGTCCGGATTTGATTTGTTTGATTTGAGGGCAGCGCTGCTAGATGGGCTCATGTCATTTATCTTGGTTCCGAGGAAGGCGTCCCAGCCACGTGACGAAGTCAGGGAGGCTGGCCAGCCTTCCAAACTCTAATATCCATGATTTTATGACATCCAGCAATTACGTCAAGACTGCTTGTCTTTTCAACAGAGGCAGAATTATCCGACAAAAATTTTATCGCTAACAAAGAATGGCGTGCACTTCAGCGGGACAAAAACGCCCACCCGTAGCCCCATTCTCACCACGAGTTATCAGATCGAAGAACACACATCGTTGCAGCTCAAAGCCGCGATGGTAGAAAGTGACCCCTCGTCTCTACCTGCAGCGCATATGATGATCCAGGGGGCTACGTCCACGAGCAAAGGCGGTAGAATGTAACCTCTGTTGTTTCGTTTGATTTGATTTGATTATTTACGTCCGTTTGCGCTCTATAGTAGGCTTTAAGACGTGCTACCAAACCAAAAGTTTATTACGCCCGGTGACTAACTAGCCGATAGGGCTCACTAGCTTAGCTACTTGTCCCCCGTTTTTTTCAGGTAGCACGGATTCTCATGCGGCCTTTGGCAGGCCGGCGGTGAATATAGCTAACAATACATCGCTCGCACACAAAGCGTCGGATTAGCTCGACCACATCATAACCGCTCGGTCATAATGTTTAAATGCAATAGCGACAGCAAAATAGTGCTCTATATAGGCTGTTGTACATGCCGAGTGGCACGAGTATCCTTTAACCGTATGCCATTCGCTAGCGCCCAATCATATTGCACACCAGCGTAAATCTAAAACAGCTTTGCCCCGCCTGTAGTGTGGGGTCCGGAAGGCTTGTTACAAATCAATGTGGCAGCATCTCTCAGCAATTGTGGATCTCTGAGCTTACGATTGATGGATCTTATGATCAGAGGCGCAGCTAATGAGGGACCAGTAGGCACAAGGTTTTTGGGCAACGTTTCTTAATGTAGATGATGTCTAGATACAAGAAAGGACCTGGGGAGAAGGTACCTGGTTTTGTGTGTGCGTTAGGGCATATAGTGGGTACCTTTTCCCAGCCTCGATTCATGATTGGTGGTTGACGTCACAGCACCTTACTGGTTGCTGTGGCCCACACACCCTGCTACAGCCACGGATTCAACAGCATCAGCCGTCTATTACAGATACACAACAGAAAATGAACCTTCGGGGCACTTTGTCACAAACAGTCATTCTAAGGGAGCAAAATAAGAGCTAGAACCGCTTGATTATTATGATAACCTGTGTTTATAGTCAATTAAGAGGCGTCTAGAAGCCTTCAGCTTTGTTCTGCTTGTCAGCTGTGTTGACTTCTATCTAGCTTCTTGTCCCTCAATTGTTATATCTTGATACAATGGCATGTGACACCCTTAGCTAAGAGATTTAAAATCTATTACAAAGCCCTAGATCCATTATAAAAAACAGGGCCCTGGGCACAGGACGTCAAATGGTTGATTCGCCACGCAGCTATATATATACCCCCTTCTGCTCAGCGGATAAAGCATAGAATCATAATTCTGCAATATTGACAAATACATTAGGCTAAGCTTGAGTTTGTCTCACAATGGCTCCCGCATATAAAAGGCTCGACGCTGACAACTGTGTCTTTCTATTTGTTGATCACCAGGTAAGTGGCTTCTACTTTCCGCGACTCACGGTGCGGTACTAAGCTCTATTCCAAATAGTCCGGTCTCATCCAGCTGGTTCGCGATTTTGAACCTCACGCATTCCACACGAATGTTATGGCACTTTGCAGAGTTGCAAGCTACTTTAAGGCCCCTTCCATTATCACGACGTCGTTCGACACTGGACCGAATGGCCCGATTGCTAAAGAAATCACTGATATACTCCCTAATGCACCGTTAATTCGGCGCCCAGGGCAAATCAACGCTATGGACAACGAAGACTTCGCCAGTGCTGTTAGAGCGACTGGCAAGAAGCAGGTTGTTATCAGGTACGTCCTCCAGCGATCGCACCAAAGAAATGTTCTGACATGACACAGTGGTGTTTTGACAGAAGTCTGCGTTGCTTTCCCTGCGCTTAGTTTGATCGAAGAAGGATATGATGTCTTCGTCGTTACTGATGCTTCGGGCACATTTGCCGAGCACACAAGGGAAGCTGCTCATAAACGAATGGCCCAGGCCGGCTGCCAGCTTCTGAACTGGGCTGCTATTTCCGCGGAACTTCACAGAGACTGGCGCCGCGACATTGAGGGCTTTGGTGGAATTTGGCGTGACCACGTCCCTGGCTACTGGTGTTTGATGCAGAGCTACGAAACGGCTTCCAAGAACAGCTCTCAGTAGGCAGAATTGTTCTAGCGCCTAAGCGACCTGTGTGGTTCCGAATTTAGTCACCTCGGATATCGGCTATCGAATACAAGTTACCTAGTTATCGAGTTTATGGCCTGTGGAAAGCCTTTCCCCGTAGTATAAACGACAACTACGATCTGTAAAAATTCTTCCACTTTTACAGCTATTAGCAGCTATTAGCAGCTATTAGTAGCGGCGTTTTTAGAGGCCTACTAACCTACAGTTTTAATAGCTATACGCTAGTATGACCTAGTAGTTATAAAAAGGAGAACTTGAGAGAGTTTATATGTTAAAATAGGTCACCTAAAGAGGGCCTTTTATAGTCACAAAACACTCTGTGGCTGCCACACAGTCAACAGAAGTGGCCACGTTGGTCATAGAAACCAACAGAAGCTGCCGCGTCAGCTTTCCTAGTAAATTACGTATCTATGACTCGTATATCAATACGAAACAGCTGCCAAGACGTTGAAAGCTCAGTTTTGCTTCGAAGCTTCCGCTATCTGCAGCCGTTGCGTTTGAAGAATGGGTCAGCCATAGACAGTCTCCAACAAAATCGCTGAATCCAAGCATCCATCCAAATAAATGCGATTGCTCACTCCTGCCAACCATGTCTCCCTATCCTTACAATACGCCAGGCAGCTGAAGTCGGCGGCCCGATCTTAGGAGGAGCCCGAAGCTTGACGAAACCACGGGTGGAGGCAACTAGCGTGTAAAATACCTGTCCTTCTATCCTATTTAACATAGGCACCATGCTTGCATGCTTCCGACTACGACGTGGCTAGGTACCGTAAAAACCGAACTGGGTGTCGTGGGTGAGCACCTATACAAAAAATTTAGTGGGAAGTGGCCAAAAATAGCTTGTACTTGCTAAGTACCTTTTTATTTGCTTTTATCAGGGCTTACAGTACATAACGGCCAGTTGCCGCTTAATGCTCTACTAAATACTTCACCTAAGTCATCCTTACGCACAGTACTAAAGCTCTGAAGGCACGAAAAGGCGTCTTTCTCTGGAAATGTGTAGCTTGAATCGCTGTCTTAGAGTGCCTTCCCCATTTGTTAACAGGCGCCTTGGCTAGTCATGCACCGTTATGCATCTCAGCCCTAGTGCACCCATATTTGGTGGGAATTACCCCCGGATTTGGTGGCAATCTTCCATGCGTTCCTAGATCTCTGGGTCGATAGTCTGAGCGTCTACATCATTAAAAGCCAAATACTTTTCAGTTCAATTTCCACCGTTTTACTCTAGTTTTCTGGTTCTTGGGCAAAATCATCGTATATTTATGGCGATTTGGGTACGAGACGATGAGTTAACCATGGAAACCCATGGAAATCGATGGAAGCTAGCGTAGAGGCCACCCTGTCCACATTGTCGCTGGCTGGGTCGGTCGCTGGCTGGTCGGTCGGTCGCTGGTAGGGCCGGTCGCACTGCGTCCACTCGGTGATACGCTTCCTTGCCTACTTCATCAGTGCTGCTGCCGGTATATGCTGTGCGAGACCAGATGGATATGGAAGATTTTAATTTGGAGAATTTTGACGATGATTACGATCTTCGAACCCCCGGAAGGGACAGAAGTCCCAGCGTAAATACCCCCGCCGAAGAGCCCAACCGAGCCGACACTGCAACGCCTACGAAACGACTCCCACTGCTGCGACTGAATGACTGGGAGGCCGACAGGCAATATGACAGAAGTAACCCAATCTGTATTCATTACGATTTCGTATGGAAAGTGTCCCTCCGTGAAAATATTAGACGACGGCCGATTACCGGAAACGATCAGCCGGATGATCTTGTCCTTGCTCCGAGTGTTTTCTGGAAAGAAATATTCCAAGCACAGCTTGAGAGTACCATAGCGAGTGACGAGAGACTTCCAGGACGAGAGTATACGTGCGAAGAGACCATCGTCGCTATATCGATCGAGAATACACGCGGCCGTGGCCTGAAAGACAAGGTGTCCGGCCACAACATTAGATGGAGCGTTATTGACCAGCACCTCGAAAGTCTTGCTATTCTGTTTAATGCAGGTAGGAAGATAACATTCTCCCTAGAATTTGTGTACAAGGAAGTTACCGATCAGTCTGCCACGGGCGCACGATCTGGGAAGAAGAAAAGAAAAACCCAGAGCGAGGTCCAGAGGGAGAAGATGGCCGCTGAGTCAGGCCTGTGGAATCGCGTTTACAAACGCAATCGCTGTAGAGCCAAATACTGCAAGAAGGGGCCGCATTGCCTGGTAGATCACCAGGAGAATCACCGCAAGCTGCATTACAAAGATCTCAAGGCTATCGATGACCATTACAAGGATGACATGAAAGAAGGCGAAACATTTGCTGACGTTGATATCACCGGTCCAATCCCCTCGCACATCTTTGAACAGGTCTTGAGTAGATCTGATGACTCTGAGGGTGATCCTGCCGAAGAGCTCAACAAGTACTTCACTTTCCTCCTGACTGAAGTGCAAAGTGATAGGAACAGAGCAGAATTAGAGGCTGGAATGAAGTTTGCCAGAGAGCAGTGCTTTGAGTTGAACTCCATGGAGGAGCATCCTCAGATGGTCGTCACTGCAATGGTGAGGGGGAATGTCAAGTGCGGCAGTGCTTTGCACATGGTTGGGAACATAAAGAGATATAGGAAAGCCGCAAGCATCATGCGACGAAGAAGTTAACCGCGGGATTAATTTTGTCAATGTTGTCAATTTCTTTTTCCTATGTAACTAAGCTTTTATATGTGCTGTTTGTGGGCAGGACCCGCGTACGGCTGTTGCCAAGTTTGATAAAGCATGACATTTTTTATTCCGGAAATGTGATAGGAATTCCAGCATGATGAAACAGCTGCTTAGCCAAGTCCTCGTCATCTCCAACCACCTCGACACACCACTCCAGAAAGAACTTGAAATCGTACTCCGCAACCTCCTGGTTCTCTTTGTATGCTTTCTTGATAAATGTCTTGAGATTGGCAAAAATTTCCTCGCATGGGTTGAAGTCCGGAGAATATGGCGATAGCTCAACGTATAGTACACCCGCCTCGTCGCACATTTGCTGGATTTTCGGTGAACGATGAACAGATGCATTGTCCCTGATTATGACCGAGTTTCGCCCGGGAAATGGTTCGCAAAAGTGAAGAAGCTCGGATATAAAGTCTTCGATTACGAATTTGTCAGTTGAGCCTTGGTATACCCGATACATGAGGATGCCGTCCTGCGTGACGGCCGGTAGTATTTGCCATTGTCCGCCGCGCTTTAATTTATTATACTTGATAGGTGTTTTTCCCTTCGGCGCCCGCCCTGAGTGTCGGAGACACCCAAGAGCATTAGTGCCGGCCTCATCAAAGTAAACAATCTGATATGACTGGACGTCGAGTTTTGCAAGTCTGTATAGATAATAGTCTCGAAGATCTTCATCTCGCTGTTGGGCAATGCGACGCATTTTCTTCCGTGGCCAGTCCTTCAAAGCTCGGACGACTGCACTTGGTGAAACTTTGACATCGAATTTGTCCAGCAACATCTGTACCATCTCTTCTATATGTAGCTCGGGATCGTCGGTCAGTTGGTCAAATAAGTATTTCTTCATCTCGGGCGTTATTCGGCTGCGCCGCCCGGTGCGGGTTTTTTGTTGTGGCATTTCGCTTCCAGGTAGTTTGCGACGCTGTTCGAAACGCTGGACGGTTCGAGCGCTGCATAGGTTCGCAGAGACAATATCTTGAGTCGAGAACCCTTTTTTTAGCATAGCTAAAATTTGGTCTCGGATTTCTTCACTTAATGGTGGCGCCATGGTCAGTTTTGTAGGGCTGTTTTTGACGTGACTGATGTTGAAAGGCAGAAACCGAGTGACCCAGTGGAAACAGGCAGCTTCCAGCGGTTACTCTTAGTGACTGTTACAGTGGTAGGGTGGAGGTACTTTCAAGATACCCAGAAGATCAGCAGCCAAAAATAGCGGACGTCCCTCCCCACCTCACTACTAAAACTAACTAGATGCACCCGCGACACCCATTTCGGTTTTTACGGTACA